ATTGCGATATCTAGAAAATCATTGCCTGGTCCAAGATCACAAGAATTGACATTTGTTTTCTTCTACAAGTTTATAGCTTTAGCTCTTTCGTTTACTTCTTTGATCCATTTTTAAGTTAACTTTTATATGTGATATAAGACAATGGTCCACCATCTATTTTTCTTTGCATGGAAATGTCCACTTTTCCCAGAATCGTTTGTTAAAGAGATTATTCTTTTCCCATAGGTACCTGGTCAAAAATCAATTGACCATATATGCATGGTTTTATTTTGGGGCTCTCTATTCTATGTTGTTGGGAACTGTAGCTTTATAATAAGTTTTGAAATCAGGAAGTGTGAGATGTCTGTTATTTTTTAATAGTTTCATTTTGATAGCTTTATCTTTGGTATTTTAAAACTTAATATTTCAAAATCTAAGAAGTAATAAATAACATTCCCTTTTTATATCCAGGAACTAAGATTCAAATTTTAAGTAACTTTTGACAATGTCAAATAGCAATCCTGACTTCTAGTTGTATAATTCTATTACCTTAGCCACTTTCTTATTTATCTATGGCCTAAAAAGAAAAGTAGTCATAAATTTACAAGTAGAGGAAAATCCAAAAAGATCATTCCTCATTTCACATAGACATATAACCACTGGATAATCTAAAATAGTATTTTAAAACATTTCCAGAAAAACAAAATTCCATAACCTTAATATATAATCTAAAAACCCTTCTTTGTTCTTAGCATATTAAACTAAATGCAATTTTCCAAACATTTCTCACTTTTTCTTACCTCCATACCTTTACACATGCTGCTACACCATAATGAACACCTTTCTGCAACATGCTAACCTTCCTCTTCCTCACTGCCTAGACTTCTAGGCTTCTCAGTAGCAACACCACACCCTGGGGAGTGTTTGAAAAGCTTGAAGGCTTTTTTAAATTTTAAAAATCACAACAAATGGGAATTTCAAAATCTCAGCAAACTGTCTGCCATGTAAGATGATCTTGCCCAAAATGTTTACTAGCACTCCTGCTGAGCAACACTGGCACCTAGCCTAACCCTATAAATTCCTCAGGAATCAGCTTAGGTGCCACTTTTTCTGGGGGGAGTTCTACTCTGCTTCACATAATTTGATTTAGGTTCTCCTTTTATCTGCTTCTATAATAGTAGTATGCTAATCTTAATCCTATCTTTTTACTTATAACTGTTTATTTGTTTGCCATGCCTATCAGAAAGAAATTGTAATTTTTCCTGTGCTACAAAATGGTAAAATCCTAAATGTTTAATTAAGTTTACTTACCAGAGTGAGCAACCCCACATGCTTTTTTGACAGGATCTGCAAAAACTATTGGTATACAATCAGCACCAAGAGCTGCTATTGTGACGCCTCTCTGATTTGTGGTGATTCCATCATAAGATTCAGGTTCCTTCCTTCCCATGACCCAGACGTCATTGGCATGATCAGTCTAATATCAAAGATGTGTAATAAAAATGTTTTGAAAGTAGGATTTCTCATACCATAAGCTTTTATTAAAGTATTCATTTTGCACAAAATTATATAACCAGTTTAAGATTACTACCATTCATTAAATATATCACTTCTATATAAGATAAAATACCAAATTTACTTATCATTTCATTTTTGTTATAATTGCTGCATATTTTATTTAAAGAAAGCAGAATTTAACATTTAATAATTCAACAGTACCCATCACAAACACTTCCTACTAGAGATGGGTAAGTATGTGAAGTACTTTCCACAATGAACTAATTCATTGAAATAAGTTAATTACTAAGTCAATGATATTTTTATTTTTTCTGGACTCAAGTGAAGTTAAAGTTCTGTAACAAACAAAGCACTATCTCATCAATTGTATCCTAAGTTCCTCCTGGTGTTAACTTAGAAAATAATGGCCTTTCTTTTCCACAATTCAGGAATCTTCCTTCTAGGTCAAAAAGGGCAGTGGTACTCTATACTCTCTGAGAGTTAATTGTACTTTTAGATGTGAGGAACTCCAGGTGAATGAATATATATATATTATATATATATATAATATAATATAATATAAATATATATATATATATATATTTACATATATTCTTGATTTTTTAGGCTATGGTATATGGGTCAAAGAAAAACAACCATAATCATTATCCTAAAGTTTTAGATAAAACACCAGATGAAAAAAGTTAAATAGCTTGCTTAAGGTCCATTAGTCATTAGCAGACTTAATATACTTTAGATCTTCTAAAATATGAAACATAATTTTACCTTTATTCGGTAAAAGTTCTTCACATTAAATCCTGCAGCACACCCCAACCTACGCAGATTTTCTTGAACAACTATCTTAGGATCTCTCCGTTTGGAACTACTGAAGAGATTTAAAGAGCTGAGAGTTGGTAGGTAAGATATCCCACCTGTTCTTGTAGTAAATCCATGTATGAAAATATCTGTTGAAGATAAATAGTGAAGAGTAAAAATATGCCATACAAAACAGTATAAAAAGCATTATAAACCCTATCTCTTCGTAAGACTTTACCTGATCACTTCAACCTGTATTTACCTGGCACCTAATTCTATAGATCTTTGCACCTCCATGTGTTCTTATTACCCACTGCTTTGTTCTACCTTTCCTATGGAGTTTTACTCTTCAAAGGGAATTTTCTGTCCTATTTGTCTTTGTTATTCCCAATAGCATATAGTACATAGTAAATATTATTTATTCAAGAAGAATGTTTTAAATTTCACTGTTCTGTAATGACGCCAGTGAGTTGAGGCTTCAGAATTGCTAAATAGGAAATGCTTAGGGTTATAAATCTCATTTTAAAGGAAGCCTGGGGATCTGTCTTAAAGCTGAATTTGAATAAAGCAAATTTATTTATGCAGGGGGCTTTGAAGGGGCTATCCCTTGATATCCCTTGACGTTCCTAACTCTGTAAGATCATCCACAACATTCCCATGTTGCAACTGATGCCCACACAGTCTACAAAAGAAAGAAGGAAAAAAAGAAGTGAACAACTTCTAAAGAACCACTGGTTTTTCACATGCATGATGAAAACAACAGATGCCATGTAATATACCTGAAATCAAAGGAGATGTGATTATGGTTAATTCTCCTTTCAGTGTTGGCAGACTTCTCAAATATGTTTCTATTTCATTCTGTATTGCTTCTAGTTCTTGAGCTGTGATGATGTTTACCTCAGAAGCCTGTTTCAAAAGACCTTCCTTCAAAGTTACCTCTAAATCTTCAAACTCAAAATTGTAAACATCAGTGAAGAGTTGATCAATGAAAGCCTTCATTAATGTCTTCCGGTGCATGGGTACAATTACCTTAATGCTGCTCAGATTTTTTTCATCAATTTTTTGTTTAATGGTATACAAAGACACAGCCATACTGGGATTGCTAACAGTCTCAAATTCTCTCAAGAGAGCTGATAATCCACTGCTTGTTTCTAATTCATAGTTGTCATGGTCACTGTTACTTTCACAGTTGATGTTGCTGCAACACATTATGCAAAGGAGCTTGGACTTGGCAGCATGGTGGTACCCAAGAGCATTCAATGTCTTCAGTAATGTCCGATGATCGTTTTTCTGAGAGTTCAATTTCAAACCAAAAAGATCAATCACCACTGCTTCCGCCATCCTTGGGTAAGGGTACACAGCTCTTCAAGAAGGTTTTTGTGCCCCCCACAATCACCTGTAAAGAAATATTACCATAAATAAGACTGTAAAATTATATTGATATTCTTATAGTTACAACAGAAATTTGTGGCTGAGGCTAAAAAAGAATTGCATTGATCTAAATATGTAAGCAAAATAGTTACTCTAGACCTCTCCCAAAAAAGCTAGTTCATTGTCATAGAAGAATCATGACAATTAAAGCAAAGCCAACTATTCATTTATTTTCTGAAAGTACATGTACATCTTCACAGCAAAACAATAGCTCCTGTGTTTTTGGTTTTTGTTTTCATATAGGGAATTTCTTGTTGACTTAAAGTACAGTTTATTAATTACATGGTGTCAATTTAAGTTATACATTATTAATTCTGATAGGACTGGCATGTTAGGTCACATCCCTTGACAAGAAGTGTGGAATCTTAAATCAGTAAGTTAAATGGAGCTGCACGTTAAAATCGTGTTTTTAAGAGATAAAAGCGGAGATGACCCACACATTTCTCTCCAGTATTTACACAATACTACAGGTATGGCAATTACCCCATGCCTCCTACCTGCTTTCCTACTCCTTCCTGTCGCGAGGATTTCTCACCTCACTGGGTCCTCCCACCAGGCAGTCGGCCGGCTTCAGGTGACTCGCTTCCCGGACCTCCTTTTGCCCAAGACATCCTTGGGCCGCCACTCCCAACCTCCACTCCCTACCATCCAGGACTCTCGCCCGAATTCATCTCGTCAGTTTCGAAAAACATTAAGAGAAGCGAGGGTGCCCGTGAAGTTCCACAAAACGCGTCTGTCACCGCCCGGCCCCGAGCTGGGCGCCCCCCCCCCTCCCCGGGCGGATCCCCACCTGCCCAGGCACCTCCCCTGACCTCGCCCCACCCCTAGGGACTTTCCAACAGTCACACGCACACCTCAGGTAGCACACGTACTCGCCTCCGAGTGCCCAACCTTCGCCTGTGGACTCCGTCAGCGGCCAGGGGTTGGGATTTGCCCCACTCCCACCCCACGTCTGAACCCCGACAAAACCGGGAAGCTGCCAGACTGTCACCTGGAGTTCAAAGCCTGGACCCCGTGCCTCCGCCGGCTGGTGGGCTGTAAGGACGCAGGTCCACCTCTCCCATCTCCCTCACCTCGCCCACCTCAGCGCAGACGACTATCCCCGCCTGGCATCGCCTAGCTAGGGTCCTGCAGTCCGAGTACGGCCTAAGCGACTGGGGAAGAGTTCAGGGGCTTGGACGCCCACCCGGCAAACGCAGCGGGCCGACCTCAGGGCCCCGGAACCCGGGAGTTGCAGAGCGCAGCGCCTGAGGCTGGCTCTGCATTTCCGGGTCAGGGCGGCCCTTCGAGCTCGCTCCCGCGGCCCAGCTGAGGGAAGAGGAACCGAAACCGGAGCCCGGAAGGGCGTCGCGTCTGAGCCCGGCGGTCGGAGGGCTGGGGGCTGGGGAGGTACGTGGGCAAACGGGGCCAGGAGGGGCGCGGGTGGGGGAGACACCCCGGTCACAAGGCACCGATTCCCTCCTGCGTCGGGAAGCCCTCACCCCACGTCCGCTTTACCTTCCAGTGGGAACGGGTCGCTGTCCCTGAAGTGTGGTCGGGACGCTTGGCGCAGTCACCAAAGCACGGGCCTGAGAACCGCACTTTCTTAGCACTTGGCTGTTTGTTACATCCAAGGTTTTCTTCTTCCTCCGTTTTTATTTCCAAAAACGAGTTGTTCGAATCTTCCTTTGTTTTCTTCTGATTCTGCCTGTTGCTGACTGTACCAACACCGTGCAGTTCCTTCACTTGTGTTGACAGATGTCCTGTATGCCCTTTTAAAAATATATGCCACTAGTAAAAAATTAGAAGTCACATTAAAATGGTGATAAAGGTGCAAATTAGCGTCCTGTATTGGCCCTCAAAGACTGTAACATTCACCTTTAAAAAAAAATAAACAGACATGCAAAAGACCAATGCCAAGGTAAAGGGAGAATATATTCCACCTTCCAACAGTAAAAGAAAGGATATTTTCAGCGGATTGGTCATGATGGCAGGAAGAGTTCCCTTTTATTTTATAGTTGCTCAGACGGTAAAGGCTGAAGAACCTTTACCTGAAAGAGAAATAATTTTCTTGGCTATCTGGGTAACAGCACTTGGCTAACAGCACTTGGAGGGGGCGAGTGTTTCTATTCTATTTGATTAGAGAATGAGACCACCAACTCAGAATAGGAGCCTACTGTTTAATATTCCTGGCAGATGTTTTTGTTAAAATTTGCATTTTCATTATTTTTGCTGGACATTTGTTAAGATCCCTGAGTGGTAGATTGTATACCTGATCAGAAAGTGCACTCTGCCCTCAGCTTGTTTTATGTTAAATATCACCTTAAGGGAAAGTAGTCTTTTAGTTGAAAAGCCAGTTTAACACATTTATTCCAGTTTTAGTAGACAATGGTGGGAATTAATTTTCTTTCATGTTACAGTAAAAATTAAAGAAATATTTCAACATAGGAAAGCTGTCAGGGAAGGGAGAGTTTGTCATTCTATATTATTGTGTCAGGGAAGGGAGAGTTTGTCATTCTATATTATTGACATGCTATTTTCTTTCAACATCTGGTCCTAACACCCACCTGGTAACACTCTTACCTCAACTCCAGTGGTTCTCTGCACTTCAGAATGACAAGTAGAACTTTAGGAAAAAAAAAAAAAATCCAGAGCCTCCACTCCAGATATACATTTGAAACAGAATCTATGGGAGTCAAGCCTGGGCATATTTTGCTTTGTTTTATTTTCATCTCTACAGATGAGTCAAATACATAATTAGGTTTGCAAAAGCAAGTTCCCTATTCCCAAGCCACTCAAACTCAAGGCTATTCCTTGGGAGGGCCACATGATTCTATCCTTTACATATGCTATTTCTTCAAGTTAGAACAACCATATCTTCATATAGTTATTTGACTGTTTCTTCTTCAAGACTCTTCAAGCTCAAACATAACCTCCCTTGAATTCCCATCTTCTCATCAAGTACAATTAATTGCTTCTTTTTTAGCATTTTGTTCATAAAGAAGGAGCCCTTTCATAGAGCTAGCTGACCCATAGCCAAACAATAAATTTTTAAAAATGGGTTAAACATGGAAATGTTATAAGGGTAAAGTTGCTGGCATATAATTTATCTAAATTCATCTGTTAAAACGAAAAGTCAGTTAAACCAGAGAGCCATGAAAAAGTATAACATAAGTACCTTAAATATTTTGTTTTAACCTAAAACAACCATATTCTCATTTGTCACTGGATTGAGAAAGTCCAAGGCCACTTGTTTACATGTGGCCTGCCAGTAAGAGTTCTACATTGTATCTCTTACATAAACTATGCCTCCAAACCATCAGTAAGCTATTCCAAGATTTTGTTGTATTTCCACACTATTTAATTGGTTTACATAACATTTAATTAAGTTATGAAAGCATAGGAACAAGTGTAACTGATATAAGCAGGCTCAGGAACATACATAAATAACTCATTGGTAGATTGTACAAATCAACTGGTAGGATCAGAAGTGGGCAGACTCACTAAAAAGTAGCTTCCTAACCATTCAGTATTCAGCATGATATGGGAATTAGCAACTTATAATTTACAAAAGAAATAGAATGAGTTAATTAGAGTTTAAGTGTAATTAGACTTATTCTGTATTTATTGTACCTCCTACATTTTAAGTATTTGACTGTGTCTATCTCCTTGTAATGACTCAGAGCATTTTGAGGGCAGAGATAGTGCCTGTTAAGGGGAACCATTGGGAAAATCCCAGACATTCTCATAGCACTATGTAAATCTTCCCATGAACACAAGAGGAATTAAAAAAATCTGAACAGTTGTTTTTAAGCCATTTACATTAAGGCTTATGGGTACTTCCAGAAAAGGATATATAACATGCAAATATTTTTAAAAGCTCTGTTGTTTTTCTAAAGTTGCCATAACAAATTAGCACAAATTGGATGGCTTAAAATGACAAAGATGTATTCTCTCATGGTTATGGAGGCAGAAGTCTCAAATCAAGGTTTTGTCAGAACCATGCTCCCTTCAAAGGTTTCCATGCCTCTTCCAAATGCTGGTGGTTCCATGACTTGGGGCTCTCTGGCTTTATCCTTACATGGTCTACCCCTGTGTGTCTGAGCCTCAAATTTCCCCTCTATCTTTCTCAAACAAGAGCACCTGTGTGGAAATAAAGACAGGCCAACCATATGAGAACAAAGGCTATTGATTCAGAGCTTTCTAGAGCAAGCGAGTCAGCCACCAAGGCAGGCATAGGAGTGGGAAAACTTTATTGTGGAAAAAAGGGAAATCTTCAGGTGTGCCCTGATTGGAGGCTGTTGGCATGGGGAAGTTGTAGGTGTTCTAATTCAAAGCAGGATGACATATGTGATGCATATTTGTTTTTTGCTGGTTGGTCCCAAGGTGGAAGTGGGGACAAAACTTAGACAAGTTGTCAGTTATTAATCAAACACTGGCCATTTTGGACCAGTTGTTAAAGGGTTTATTGTTTGTTTTCCTCAATTGTTATTAGAGATAGTGGTATAAAATCCTAAAAGTCTGATTTACAGATTAACTTTACAGATGGCTTCCTGGTTTGGTTACTGTAGATAATATGTGGGTGGCTAGTGGTTTTCTGGGTTGTTTGGCTCAGGTTGTAGGTCAGAGTTCTATTTTTATATGTGGTCTGGTCTCTGCATATTCAGTCTCTCACCTATCATTGAAAAGAGGGCCCACTCTAAATCCAGAAAAATCTCATCTTGAGATCCGTACCTTAATCTACAAAGACCCTTTCCAAATAAGGTCGCATTCACAGGTTGTAGGAGTTAGGACATGGACCTGTTTTTTGGGGGGGTCACCCTAGAACCCATTTCAAGCTCCTCTTATTTTAGAATCATGGTTATTTATTTATAGAGTTTTAGAAAAGACCTTTCCCTTACTGTCCTGAATTAGAAAAGCAGATAGGTTATGACTACATTTCACCAAGGGCCTATATATTTTTTTCAAACAGTTTCTTGAATGGTCTCTTAAAGTTTGAATTCAAGCTACACACTAATTCTTGTATGTATACATCCCAAAATGAGATGTTTTGGTAGTCCAGTATTATCTGTGTATTCAGAGACATCCCACCTTTAGGAGAAAGCTATAGGCATGGTGGATAATATATGAATATTGTATATGATAGGAAGTTAAGGAATATTACAAATTCTCTGGTTTCTTTCTGTTTTTAGCATTCTGACACTTTAATCTCATTTCCTAGCCAAAAAAGAGAACAATCCATAGTTTCAGCAGGTTTAAGACATTGATGTATAATAGGTATGCAATTTTTAAATGATTTAATTCTTAATTCCTTTTGGGTGATTCTGATGATGTTATAGCTTAATGAAAACATTGGTTGAAAAGACTTGCAGTCTTTTTTACCATGAAGTATGTATTTTTGATTATTACTCATTTATGCAGTATGTCATATTTTCTTCATTATGCCTCTTTAATTTATTGTTGAAATTGAACCACTCAGATCTGATTTTATCATACTTATTATAAATATAGACCGTAATAATAAATTCCCTTGATACCAGAAAAAACTTTTATCTCATCTTTCTCCAGGTTAATTTTTTAGCTTACCCAATGGAATGTCAGCTTTAATATTAAACTTCCCCTCCCTCTTAGAAAACAAAACAAAACAATTTCACACTTATGTGAAAATTATCTATAATTTTCTTTCCTTGCTTTTTTAACTGAAATATCTACTCTAAGGTGGGTAGGATGAAATTATGAACTTAATTACTTAAACTACTTGGTAAGTTCACACACCAGATTTTTCCATTCAAAATGGAAAATGGTGCTTATGTGACATGGTGCACACATACAGTTGCCTCCTCTTAATTCTTCTAAGCCAAAAGCTCTCAAAAGCCCCAGTGGAGTTTGACAGGCTTGCTTTATTGTGCTCATTAACTTGAGAACAAGGTATCCGATAATGAGTTACCAAAAGCTGGAACTATGGCATTTTTAAAATCTCCTCCCAAGGGCCAAGAACAGGGGCTTGTCTCTGGAATTCAAATGAGATCATGCACAAATCATGCTTATCATAGTGTTTTGTTATATATTAAGTACCTAGTAAATAGTAATTTGGATCCTAATTGCTTCAAATTCCATCCTTCCTACTTGTTTGATATATGACCTTTGGCATTATTTCCTAATTTCTTCAAGTCATAGTTTTCTCATCTATAAAATATAAGTAAAAATAAAATCTAGCTTGTAAGGTTGCTCTGAGAGGAAAAAGGATAATCTATGTAAAAACACTTAAAAAAATACTGGTTAGTCAATACCCAACAAATGTTAACTATAGTTAATATAGAAGAATGGTGGTTTATTATAGTATTTCCATTGCACTGTTTTCTGTAAAGCATTTTTAGTTGAAAGTATTTTTTAAACAATTTAGTTTTATA